AACTCTGCCCTTCTCAGAACTTGCCTAGTAATGTGCCCTCTGTGTTGGTGTGCGTGTGGGAGGGCTGGGCAGTTCATTAACTTTATATAGTGCTGCTAACATTTCTTAAATGAGTTTTATCCCTTTTTTTAATGATCAAAGTAATGTCAGTCTCAAGCATAAAGTGGGTTGTCCCCTCAATCGACTTCAACGCAATAGATTTTGCCTTGCGTTGCATTATTTTTCTTCTGTCGTACTGGAAATGTTTCTTCCCATAATTGAGAGCGCAGAGGAAATTTTAATATTGTTTGGGAAAATACTTTCTGTGCTAACTCATCCTTTTCACAGCACTAAAGTTATCACATTGCTCCTGACGCTGATTAGAGGCCTATATCTTTTGCCCCCAACAAATCTCAGCAAAAAAAGGTCATGAAGTAACGTATCATAATGTTCTCAGAACCCTTCAGGTCGCTAGAATTAATTAATTGCGATGCACCCAATCTCTATTCTTAGGATTTGTTTTTATTCATCACTTCAGGCTCCGTTTGGTGTTGCGAGCTCGTTGAAACTTACAATACATTACTATTTGCATTTATCGCCTTTCACTTTGGGAGGATGTCTCAAAGCCACAGATGGCTGGGCGTTCGAGCTGGGGAGGGGTGCTGAAGGATGTGGTGTGTTCGTGTGTGTGAGGCAGGTGGTGAGGGGGGGGGGGGTGTTGCGGGGGAAGATGACCAAAAGAGGTAAGCCTTAAGGTGGGCTTTGAAGGTGGGGAGGGATGGGCGCGTTGAAGGAACTCCAGGATGAATAATAATCCTTGCATTTGAGCCCAGCACCTTTTCACTTCTTCGAGACGTCTCAAAGCGCTTCACAGAATATACTGTAAAGTGAATTGACTGTATATTTTGTGGGCGAAACGCGGCTGCCAATTGAGCACAGCAGCGTCCCACACACAGTCGTGTTTAAGGGATTATTACCTGCGGAAAAGAAATCCGCACAATCGTCTAACAACAGGTTCCTTCTTAAACGTAAACAGAGGCGTGTGGAGTAAGGAAAATTGCCTTAACATTTCGCCCTGCCCAGGAATCGAACCCAGGTCCTTTTGCTCGCGAGGCGAGTGCTCTAACCAATACACTACAGGACTCCAGGATGAAACAAGCCAGTGTTTGCTGAGCAGAGGAACGGGCAGGTCAGTAGGAGGTCACAGAGTTGGTGGGAAGCGAGGTCGTGGAGGGGATTGAATGCGAGAACGAGGACTTTGGATTCGATCCAATGGAAGCTGGGAGTGATAGGCTCACAAAGCCGAGGCTAAAGAGTCCTGGGTGATCTGCAGCTAGTCTAGGAGTGGGGGAGTTTGGTGGTATAGTCAAGCCGGGACATGGTGAAGGCATGAATGAGGTTGTCTGTAACCCGGGGGAGAGGTAGTGGCAGGGGTGAGCAATGTTGTGGAGATGGGGGAAATGCTGAATAATTGAAGATTTAGGGTTTGAAAGACAGTTGAGGGTCAAACAAGACATGGATTCTCCACCGGTTGATAACTCTCACCTCTAAGTCAGAAGGTTGTAGGTTTCAAGCCACATGTCAGAACGTAGAACCCATATAGTCTAAGATGACACTCCAATGCAGTGCTGGGGATGTGCTGCATTGTCAGAGGTACCGTCCTTCGGATGAAATGTTAAACTGAGGTCCCATCTGCCTGTCCAGGTGAATGTAAAAGATCTCATGACACTATTCGAAACAAGAACGGAGTTTCTCCCACTGTCCTGGCCAACAATACAATAAAATTGTCGCTCACTCCACAACTCTTTGTGGGACATTTCTGTGCGCAAATTGGCTGCTGCATTCATCCACAAAATACACACAGTCACATCACTTTACGGTATATTCTGGGAAGCACTGCAAGTGGGAGCATTTAGCTGGTGAAAGGAGATAATTATCTTAACGAATATTTCTTCACAATTATTATACAGGCTCCATGAAAAGTCTATGCGGCAAGTGTAATGATTTAAATAAGGCGATGATTTCTGGAGTCCCTTAGTGTAGCGATTAGCCCACTCGCCTCGCAAGGGAGAGGACCCGGGTTTGATTCCCGGGCTGGGCGAAACCTTAGGCAAGTTTACTTACTCCGCACGCCTCTGCTTACCTAGCAGTCAAGTAGGAACCCAAATACACCGCCAATTCGCATTACAATATACTGTATTCTGTGAAGAGCTTCGAGATGTTTCAACGACGTAATAAGGTACTATATTAAATGCAAGGATTATTATATTATTATCCTTTTACAAAATGTGCATTCTCAATTATCTGTAGCTTATCAATTTCAAAGTGTAGATGGCAGGTTTTAGGGAACCTCTAGTTTACACTCTCAAAGTCTTAATAACAAAAATAATAATCCTTGCATTTGACATAGCGCCTTATCACGTCTTCAAGACGTCTCAAAGCGCTTCACAGAACAAATATTTTGGGGGTGAAACGCGGCAGCCAGTTGTGCACAGCAGTTACACAGTCTTATTACTCTCAACAAATAATGCAAAATTACATAATGAATGACATTCCAGCCTGTTCAGAAGGAGAAACCGAGACAGAAAGCTGATTAAAGCACGAGGCATAGCTTAATCCTTAGAATTAGCTTGCAGCGCCAACACAAACACACTGTAATATTCATCGTACAGTATCTGTAAATACGGTGAATCAGAAATGATTGGACTAGAGCACTTGATTTTATATAACTGTTTGAGCCGTTAAGCACTAGCTGCGGATCACTTTGCTCACTTAAGCTACTTGGACACACACAATTCTTCAGGGGTTTTATTTTCCGGTCAACCGCATGTGTCTGACACACGCGGAAACCCATCACCGTGCTTAAGGGTATCCAAACCAAGCTGAGAATTCCATGCATCCCACCTACACGTGGAGATTCCAGAGACAGACTGTTGGGTAGATTATTTTGTGATACCTTCCAAGCTGCTACGGTGTTTCACCGAGTTCAGGGATTATAGGCTCAGTTCAATCTTAAAAGGTGAAATAAATCTTTAGTGCTTAATAATAATAATCCTTGCATTTGATATAGCACTTTTCACGTCGGGAGAACGTCCCAAAGCGCTTCACAGACCACACTATAAAGTGAATTGACTGTATATTTGTGGGCGAACGCGGCAGCCAATTGCGCACAGCAATGTCCCACAAACAGTCGTAGATTGGAAATGACCAATTTGTTATTGTTTTTGGTTTTGGAGGGATTATTATTAGGCTCTGTGTGGAGTAAGGAAACTTGCCCAAGGTTTCACCCTCTGCCTGGAATTGAACTCAGGTCTCTCGCTTGCAAAGCGAGTGCTCTAACCACTGAGCTACAGGACTCCACTGTAACCTGTAACCTGATAATGAAAAGGTGGCGTCAAAGAGGCTGTGGAATCAGAAGCAGCTCAATAGTGGCAGCAAACAGAATTTGGGCAAAAGCATTTAACCATATAGGAGGGGCGGTGGGTGGGGGAATGTACAACCACAGCCATTATCACTGGAGCATCTTCAGGTACATATTTATCACCACTGATACGTTAAACTGAGGGTCCTTGTCTGCCTACTTAGGTGGATGGTAAAGAACCCGTGGCAAATCGTAAAGAGGACAGGCAACACATTCATAAAATATACAGTCAGTTCACTTTACAGTGAAGCACTTTGAGGTGACTCGAAGACGTGATAAGGCGCTGCATCAAATGCAAGGATTATTATCATTACTATTGATAATTGAGCTCTAGAGGTATAATTTGCTAGAGATAAATGTGAGGACCGAGCCAGCCCTCTCTGGTGATCTCGGTACACCAGTTCCTGAGCCAGGCGGGTCCGCAGTATTCCAGGTTACTGCTGAGGACAGCACAGCCCAGCCTGGCTCAATGGCAGGAGCTGGAAGGGCAGACCAGTCATTAGGGGCAGGAAATCATCCCGCATAAAGGGAAATAGCAAAAGGATAGAGCATTGCAATGAAAAGATCTGCCAAGATTTAATAAACTAGTAGAAGAGTTTATGTCCTGTTGATCCTGCTTTCCTAAATTCCTATAGTCACAAGGGTCCCCATTAGAATAAATAATAATAAAAATAATCCTTGCATTCGATATAGCGCTTTGTTGCATCATTGAGACGTCTCAAAGTGCTTCACAGAATATACTGTAAATGAATAAACTGTATTTTCTTTGGGGGGGCAAAATCATATTAGAAACCATATTGGCTTTCTCCTAAATTATGAATTATTAAACCAGGAGAAAAGAAACCTCATCACGACTTGATGAACAATCCACGTGAGGCAATCTAATATATCAGCACATTAAAGTGATGGAAAACAGAAAAGGAAATATGATTTTAGTTAAAATTGCAATTATGTGTAGTAGTATTATTATTATTATTTATTATATAAAATAAAAACGGTTATGCAGACCCACAGGCGAAATAAAGGTAAGCATTTGAAAGATGCATTTTTTTAAAAAATATGCTGTGTTCCAAAAAAACAGGAAAATAATAGTGTTATTTAATCTGTGGGAGGAATTTCCACGTTTGTGTGTGTGTGTGTGTGTGTGTGTGTGAAGCTGAGAGTGTCTGAGTGTTGCAAGGAACCTGTCAGTGCTGTGGCTGTTTGTGGCTCTCTGCTAACAGTCTGTTTTTTTTTTCTCTCTCTATTTCTCTCTTATATTTTTTTTTAATAATGAACTCATCTTCCAAATGATGCATCGACGCAATTATTACGATTGCAACCCCGTGATCAGAAGCATTTTGATTTAAGAGGCAAACCACAAGAACAGTCTTCAGAGAAAGAGTGGGTGGGGGAATTGGGGGGTGGGTGGTGGGTGGGGAGAGATATTGCACTATTCCACCCAAAGTTACACCCAAACAAAGACTAGTTTAGAAAGTAGGGGAAGAAGTTAGAAGTGGGATCAAGAGAACAACCAAGAGGGTGACTTACTTGTCTTGTTCCATCCACTTTCCATCTCATTTGATGAGAGTTTCTGGAGGTTGTCTTTTTTTGGGGGGGGGGGGGGGTGGGGGGGGTTGAATAACTGATCTCCTGGATTTTTCACTTCACATCATCAACAGGTAAGTGAATATTTAACCATATTATTAATAATAATAATAATAATAACAATAATTATAATTATAATCTTTTTTAAGACAAAGCACTGCAGTTACAACAGTCAAAGTACTTTATTGTTATTTTCTGGAGAACTTACTCTACAATCCCAGATTGCTCTGAAATGCTAAGTCTTTTTTTTTTGGACAAAAAAAAAGTTTTAAGTGCTATGGGTTGGTGGTCTCAGTGGGGTTGCAACGATAGACTTACCTTCTGGCAAATCCTTACGATTTGTGGAGAGAGGGTTTTTTCAGTTTTGATGGGTTAAAAAAATGAGTTGGATGAAAACAGGAGCCTTTTCACTGGAGCAGAATTGATTCCGAATTGGGTGAGAGTTCTCTTAAGCAGAGCAATGTGCCTCACTCCCATCCCTCTCCTGAGAGTGACTTTGCATTGACTGTAACATTGCACAACCCAAATCTCCCTTTCCCTTTCCTGAATAGGTTCCTCAAGGGCTCTTTTGACTCGTTTCCCAAGTCATCCTGGTTGTCCCCATTCCCAACTGACTCCCAGATTCCTTCTCCTGCACCAGCTCTCACCCTCCTTTGCCCACCTGCCTGCTCCAGAATCTCTAATGTGACCAATGTTTTTTTCCTTCTACCCTCTTCCTCTGTCTCTCACTTTCTCTCCAGAATTATTTTCCTTTCCTCTCTATTCTTCTATACTGTATTTCCCAGACTTTTCCAGGAATGAGAGGCAGACTTTTTTTTAAATTTAATAAAACACAAATGGTGGCGGTGGGGGGTTGGGGGGTGGCGGTAAATAGTCCTTTAGCTTTTTTTCCCCAATGTCAGATTCCCAAATCTTTTCGTAGTTAATTTCCCAAATCCTCCCATTTTTCCCGTTGTGACCTCGTATAATAATAAAAATAATAATGATAATCCTTGCATTTGATGTAGCGCCTTATCACGTCCATGAGATGTCTCAAAGCGCTTCACAGAATATACTGTAAAGTGGAGCGACTGTGTACTTCGTGGGCGAAACGCGGCAGCCATTTGCGCACAGCAGCGTCCCACAAACAGTCGTGGATTGAGTGACCAAATAATTTTTTTGGAGGGATTATTACCCCTGGAAAGCGATCCACCTCCTCGACAAACCTTTAAAGATCCTCTCACTCGTCCACAAACTCCTTTCTCCCCCATTCTACTACCCGCTCCCTCTGCTCGGCTGGCTCTGGCTTCCAACTTGACCCTCTTCCCTTTCACTTCACCATCAGCGGCCGCGCTTTCAGCCACGACGCCCCCGAATCTTTGGAACTCTCTCCCCGAATCCTTCCACCTTTCCCCCTCCTTTCCCTCTTTTAGATCATGGCTGAACATCTCTTCGACCATGCTTACAGTCACCTCCTTTCTCTCCTTGTGCCGGTGTCGGGCTCCACCACTATTAAGCGCTCCAAGACGCTGCCCCACGTGAAGAGTGCTAAATGCAAGTTATTGTTTAGAGCGATTCCCAACTCTCAACCCGCACTTGGAGTGACTATCGGGGTTCATTCCCATATCCTTCACAGGAGTATTCTGTAAAGTGTATTGGCTGTGTTACGTCCCACAAATAGCCAAGGAGGGAGTGACAAATTTTATGTGGGGGATTGTCAGCCAGGACATCGGTAGAGAAACTTCCTTCTCTTTTCGAATAGCTCCGTGGGATCGTGAACGTCCGCTTGAACAGTCCTACATGTGTTACCGTTATGCTTTTCAATCCGAGATGAAGTCTCAAAGCAGTTCACGAATGTTACTGTGAAGTGTTGTGACTGTGCATTTTGTAGGCAAATGGGCTGTGTGGGTTTCTTTCTCAACTCCTCAAGTTTCCCGTTCCCTGGAATAGCTGTCGTGCTTGCCTTTCCAATTCAAGTCTTCTCCCATTCAAGAATTCCCCCAACTCTTTTTGACTAAGATCTCAAATCCCTTAGTATATTTCTGCCAAAACCCTGCAAGCCAAAGCCCAAATGGGTAGCATGTCCTAGCTGGACAAGCAGCGTGAAAGCTTGTTAAACAGAGATATCAATGGCAAGCTATGTGGTTTTATCTGGTTAGATTCCAGCAGTTACGCCAATGCACACTCTGGGGTCCCCACAAGCCTTGGCTCTTGCCAACCTGTGCCTAATAATCATGGAGTCCTGTAGCTCGGTGGTTAGAGCACTTGCCTCGCAAACGAGAGGACCTGGGTTCTTTCCCAGCAGGGCAAATGTTGGGCAAGATTCCTTACTCCACACGTCTCTGTTTACCTAGCAGTAAGTAGGAACCCGGTTGTTAGTCAATTGGCGGGTTGCTTTTCCGGGAGTAATAATCCCTTTGAAAAAAAATAATAAGAATAATAATTTGGTCATTCAAGCCACGACTGTTGGTGGGACACTGCTGGGCGCAATTAGCTGCCACGTTTCGCCCACAGAATATATACTGTCAATTCACTTTACTGTATATTTTGTGAAGAGCTTCCAGCAATCTATCTCTGGGATTTCCATGTGTAGGTGGGATGCATGGAATTCTCAGCTTGATTTGGATACTCTTAAGCGTGGTGATGAGTTTCCGCACGTGTCAGACAGATGGCTGACCAAAAAAATACTGGAGTGATTCTCACAGTGATCCTCCCAACTTAAGGTTCCCATTTGCCTAGAATGACCCTCTGGACATTTATTTATTCCTTTCTCCCAATTACAACTGAGATTTTGCATTGGTCAGAGTGGCTCGAAGTCTCCTAAGGTGGGGTACTCCAAAGTTGGCAACTCTTTGGCCAGCACCTCAATCCAACTGGTCAACTGTGTCAAGGACGCCTCGTTTCAGTCTCCCTTTGTTCCAGCCATTCAGTTGTGTTGGTGACAAGGCTCACGGTCTTGTTTCGGTCACATTTGTTCACCATTTACCCTCCTATTCTCCACCTTACTCCTTCTTCAAGTAGAACCATCTCCCCTCTTCTCCTTCTCTATCCAGCACCATCTCTCCCACCAGTGGCTATCTCTTTCCCCCATCATTTACGACCTCAAGCTTTGGAAACAACCCAAAGAATTAAATAAACCACAAAAGAAATATAAGCTCTTTAAGAAACAGTTGTTAAAGGCTGAGGAACTGGACCAAGATCTGAACTGGAACTGGATCTCCCCTCCATGTTCAGAAATGTTCAGGTGCACGGTGACCTACCTTCGTGGTTTGCATAGGGTAATATGTGTGTGAATTGGTGTCCATGATGCAAGAAATTCCAGGCAATCAAAAATTCAAATCATATCCACAAAGCAAATGATGGGCTTAGCCTCACAGTGTCCCAGCATCTGACTCCTTCCCTCTGAGCTCCATTCCCAGCTCAGGTGCCAAGCCAGGATTATTCAGCACCTCCCTATATGAAAAGCGCTGTATAAATGTAAATTTATTGTTTTATTGTATCTTTGGCTTTGGGGGAAATCAAAAAGTTCAGCGGCCAAGAAAAATGGTAAGAAAGTAGAACTCCAGGTTCTTGTAAAGCTATCTATAATAATATATATATAATCCTTGCATTTGATATAATGTCTTTTCACATTGTTGAGACCTCTCAAAGTGCGTCACAGAATAATCCGTAAAGTGAATTAACTGCCTAATTTGTTGGCGAAATTCAGTTTGTGGTGAAAGATATTTTATTCCTTGTTTTATTTCTAGCATGTTAAACGTCAACCAATTAAACCTCGGGCGCAGAATTTCCAAATATTGGTCGCATCAAAAAATTGTCATGTTAACATGCCTGAGAAATTTTCTTTCCTTTTGAAAAACGTACAGTCCTTTTGATAATGTTTGCGTCAAGTGCTTATTTCTATCAAGTCAAGATTTAATTACCTCTCTACTGATGGAGAACAACAAAGATGGCTCTTTTGACTGACTATCACTAGGGTGAAGTGCCCCTGGGTATAAGCCTTAAGAAACTTTGCTTCATGTGCTCAATTTAATTTAATTTCCAGTTCCCTTTCTGCACAGATCATTGCAGCTGTTTTCCCGACTTTAGTTTCAAGCTGCATAATTCCTCTGAATTTTTTCGTGTGGAACAAGATCTAATATTTCCTCATGCAAGTAAATCAGCTTTTTGTCCCATCAATACAGTCGGTGCTCTTCAGTACTCATTACCAGTGAACTCTCTGTTTGACAAGGTGGCGGTTAGGTGTCATTTTCGCCCACAAATACAGTCACTACACTTTACAGTATATTCTGTGAAGTGCTTTGAGACGTCCTAAACACGTGATGAGGCACTATAATTGCAAGGATTATTATATCAAATGCATGTATGATTATTATTATTATCATTATTATTATTTTGGTTTCATTTGAAAGCGATTTTGTCTCTGGATCAGATTTGTGGAATTTGTGGAATTGAGACCTCTTCCGGGATTCACGTCATTTAATCTTGGCTTTGACACTCCAGTAGTGAAGGAATACTGCACTGTTTAGGGTATTAATGATAATAATGATCCTTGCGTTTGATTTAGTGCCTTATCACATCTTCAATACATCTCAAAGTGCTTCACAGAATATACTGTAAAGTGAATTGGTTATATATTTATGGGGGAAATGCGGTATCCAATTGTGTACAGCAGTGACCCACAAACAGTCGCGGATTCAGTGTTACCCAATCATCATTATATTTTTATTATCCTTTCTCTTTAAGCAGAGAACTTGCATTGTGCTTCATTTGGACCACATAGGAGGCAGCAAATGGAAGCCATATGTTTCCCCACCACGAAGGAGAAACAATTTCAGGACAGTCTTAAACACTTTCAAGAAGCCAAGTGGGTGTGACATTGGCAGATGTTCCATCTTACATGCGGAAGTGCATGTTACAGGAAGATTGCAAGGAAGAAAAACAATGGAAGAAAATAATAATTTAAAAAAACTTCAAGTCAGTTCAAGTAATCAGCAAAGTTGATTTTAAAAGGAAAAGCCTTGGGTAAAATCTCAGCAGCACCCATTGAAACTTCAAAAATAAAAAAAATCTATATCCAAATTGATCAACTAGAAGTAGTGGCCAAAAATTCTGGACAAATACCAAGGTATTTTTAGGCATAATAAAGTGTCTTTCAAACTATTTTGTTCCAGGGGAGAGGGGGAGAATAGCCAAGAGACCAGCGTTTTTCGTTACATTGAGTTGTGTACAATATATGCAAAGTAAAGGGTACCAACCTACCTAGCTCACTTTATCATTTAGATCTCCTTACAAGACATTTGCTGTGAACATGTTCAATCTTCTTACCCTAATATCAAGCACAAATAGCTATACTCTTTGTAGAATCAGGATTTTATTTTGAGGGATCTCATGATGCTATGGCTTCATTAGATTAGAATCATTTCAGAATGTACTCTAAAGTGAATACCTGGAATCACTTTTTTCTAGTGAGAACACATTTACATCCTTCAGCCTTTCTTCACAAGTAGTATAATAATAGCAATAATAATCCTTGCATTTGATATAGCGCTTTTCACGTCGGGAGGACGTCCCAAAGCGCTTCACAGCACACACTGTAAAGTGAATTGACTGTATATTTGTGGGCGAACCCGGCAGCCAATTTTGTTGGTCTTTGAATTCTTTCTACTGACTCTATTCTTTCATGAGGGCAACGGTACAAGAACTGGTTACAATACTGAAGGTATGGTATAGCCAGGAGATTCCAATTTCCAGAATTAGTTTCAATTGGATACCAAAACCATATAACCATCCCTTTCATCCTCTCCCCCCAAAAGTGGTCAGAGAAGCTAAATGGATATCTGATTGAAGGTTATAAGGCCTTATTGTAGCCAAAATTGTTAGCATCCCAGCAGGCTGCACAAACGAGATGATTTCATTATTATTTGACTCATCATTCATCGTGTCAAAACAGTGTGAGGCACCAGTAAACAAGGCAAACAGGATGCTGGGCTACATTGCCAAATCAGTTGAGTTCAGATCCTCAGAAGTCATACTCAACCAATACAGTACCACACCTGCAGCACCTCACACAGTTCTGGTCTCTATGATGGTCAGAGGAAAGTAATAGCATGATCCCTAATGTTAGATGAATGAGCGATGATGAGCAATGATTTGACAATCTAGGGGCTCTACAGTGTTGAAACGAGATGTCTCAGAGGCAGCCTTATGAAGCTATATAAAATGTTAAATGGGATTGAAAAAAATAAACCGAGTTCGATACCTTTGGATGCACAAAAGCAGGAGGATAAGGGAACGTAGGTTTAGAGTTGCAAAGTTGAAAACAGCTTCCAGGAAGTATTTCTTTATCCAGAGGGTAGTTAACTACTGGAACAATTTACCAGCAAGGGTGTTTGAGGCCACCAAGCTGGAGTCTTTTAAAATTTAAAATAATTTAAAATCAGCTTGATGCTGTGATGGGGAGGCAGAAGGGTGGGTGGGTATTCTGGAAATATGAGATCAAATGGGCCAAAGGACCTTCTTCACCTAAACCGAACTTGTGAGGGGAATTCATGATGTACAGAAACTAATCCTTCCCATCATTAACGTGCCTGCTGGTGCCAGCTCCTCTATGGAACATATCTATATATTTTCTCATATTTATCCAATTGCCTTTTAAATGCTATTGTAGACTTGACATTAACGGCTATTTGTGATAAAACATTCCATATTCACATAACTATGCGAAATTAATTCTTTCAACCTATCCAAAGGCAAAATTCCAAATTACCTTTCTAATCTTATATTTTATAATCTTATATCCTACATGATACATTCCAGATCAAATGCCTTCTTTGTTGTGGTCTTGTGATGTTCACAGCAACTCGGGAACAATAGTACTTTTTGCTGTTGATTCTCTTTGTCTGTAATGTTCAGCTAGACTTTCATTTGGTTTCTTTTCAAAGGTGTTAATTGAAACAGCCATGGTCTGTTCTAAATTTCTATTGCTCCTTTGGGGGGAAAAAATCTATACTCTATGTCCATCTTTATTTCTTTACATATGTGGTTATATTTCCATAACGTTTCTATATTTATACATTTATCATTTATAAATCAGTTTCCGAAACAACACTAGTTTGATACTGGATGTTGTGTTTTCATGAGAAATTGCATTTGTCTTTTTTTTTAACTCACTGACTATCTTTCAATAAGAAGATGAATCATGGACAGATGTGGGTAGGAGTTTAACTAAATAAATCATAAAATAATTTCATTCCATTTTCGTTGCTATTCCTAGCTTTAAGTCATGACACGTAAAGTTACCCCTCATTATGAAAGTTATTGCTTGACTTGTTTTGTGTCTTTTTTTGTTTTGTTCCCAATTTTCTTTAGAGAAACAAACTTTATGTTTGAATCAGGTTTTCAATACATCGTAACTAGATGTAAATATCAATGTTTCTTATTAATTGTTTTAATAAACTCACTTTATTATTTGAACGAACTGAAACATTGAACCTAAAAGAATATGTGGTTCATTTTTAGTTTGCCTGGATTTCACCTTATATGATTACTGGCTTTGGAGTCCGTAGCGTAGTGGTTAGCTTGCTCACCTCGCAAGAGAGAGGACCTGGGTTCAATCCCCGGGCGGGGCGAAAACTTATGCAAAACCTTAGCAAGTTTCCTTACCCCACGTGCTTCTGTTTACCTAGCAATAAGTTGTTAGTCAATTGGCAGATCGTTTTCCGGGGTTAATAATCCCTCCCCCGCAAAAAAAAAATTATTTGGTCACTCAATCCACTGTTTGTGGGTCACTGCTGTGTGCAATTGGCTGCCCCTTTTCCCCCGCAAATTACAATATATTCTGTGAAGCGCTTTGAAACGTCTCAACAACGTGATATAATAATAATAATCCTTGTATTTGATGTAGCGCCTTACCACGTCTTCCACACATCTCAAAGCGCTTCACATAATATACTGTAAAGTGAATTGACTGCATGTTCTGTGGGTGAAACTCAGCAGCCAATTGCGCACAGCAGCGTCCCACAAACAGTCATGGATTAAGTGATCAAATTTTTTATACTTTTGAAGGGATTATTACACCCGGAAAAGCGATCTGCCAATTGACTAGCAACTGGGTTATTTACTACTTAACCAGGAGGTTAAGAATATTGCAGAAGGTATCACCACAGCTAGTTTGTATATTGCCGTGGGCTATGTAGCCATGACAGCAAATCAGAACGGTTATCAAGGCACCGAGTTTGAAATGTTCCACCTTGCCCATAGAGGTCTACAAGAACAGTCCATCTTTAAGCCTGTTCTACCATTGCCAACGAAAGTCATCATCAGCTCTTCAACATTAACCTGAGTTGGCTAGTGTGCTCACAAGCAGCGGGAAGCTTACCAGACTGTGATCGCAATGACAAGCTGTGCAGCTGACACACACGCACACACAACAGCAAGGTCGCAGTTCGGGCGCCAACTAGAAATCCCCAAACAGATCTGTGTTAGAAAGGATTTCATTTCACCAATGTACAAATAGAATGCTACCACTGCAAGAAGATGATCAAGGGAAAATCAAGGGAAATATGGATGCCCTGCTTCTGGGAGATGGGCAGATTGTACATTCATGTAATTAACCAGTACATATACAGTATATATATGTGTACGTATATTTGAGTGCTGTCTATATTGCAATAGTGCCCTAACAATGATGCCCTAAAATAGGTATCAGCCTGGCTCAGTTGATAGCATTGGGTTGCCATTGGGTCAGAAGGTTGTGTGTTCAAACCCCATGTGAGACTTTGAACGTCTTCAGTCTAAGCTGACACTCCAATGCAGTACACGCCAAGATATGCACTGTTAGACACTTTATCCTTTGGATGAGACGTTAAAACTGACGTCATGGCCACCTGTTTGGGTGGATGTTAAAGATTCCATGGCACTACTCAAAAAGAAAGGGGAGTTATTCCGGTTGTCCTGGCTAACAATCTTCCAAATAAAATTGGTCACTTACTTTGTGACTCTTTATGGCTCATTGCTGTGCACAAATTAGCTGACAGGTTTGCCTACAAACTGCAAAATGACTACACTTTACAGTAAATTCAGTGAAGCACTCCCGAAATGAAAGGTGCTATGTCAAATACAAGGCTTGTCCCATTGCATGGCAAACATACTCCGAAACAAATTGACCATTGCCTCTACGAATGATAAAGAGACTTCCTAACTTTGACAATTAAATGTTCTGTCAGAGAGTCCAGCTCAATATCTATGCATTTAAATAATATTTTGCTGTCTTGTTTGAGATAATTTACAGCTAAGAGAAATGACACTTTTTTTCCCCTAAATTGCTAATCACCTGTATTACTTCTTCTGTGTTTCGAACCAGGATAGGATGATGCCTTTCACCAGATTTGTGCTGCTGTTAATCCTGTGCTGCACCATCAGAAGTGGCTTCGGCTTCAAGTTATACAAGATAAACGACAGCTACACTTGCAACGAGCTCCTTTCCGAAGTTGGAAAGGAGGAGCTGCCTGAGGACACCTCAGTGGACAAGAGAAGCTTCACTTACTTACCCAGCGACAGATCTGCATTCGCTGCCGACAAGGAGAAACGGATATTTCCAGCTGCAAGGTACAAATACCTCCGCCGAACACAACTGAAAGGGAAGATGTACCAGAACACAGCGAAAAGCAACCGGCGCACCAAATTCACCTTGTCCTTAGACGTGCCCACGAGCATCCTGAACATTCTTTTAAACATTGCGAAAGCTAAGAATATGAGGGCAAAGGCGGCAGCCAACGCGAGGCTGATGGCGCAAATCGGTCGAAGGAAGTGAATTTGTAATTTAATGAGAGTTTTAAGGAATCTCCCAAGTCAGCACTGAATTGCAGCAGCGTGCATATATGCTTATTTCTGCCCGAAATCTGTTAGCAAACTGGGGAAATTACATTTAAAGATCACCACTAAATAATAATAATAAAATCAATCATTGCATTCGGTAAAGCGCCTTATCACGTCGTTGAGACGTCTCATAGGAACAGGAGTAGGCCTCTCAACCCCTTGGGCCTGTTCCGTCATTCTATAAGATCATAGCTGATGTGTATCTCAACTCCAATTACCCGCCTTTGCCCTGTATTCCTTGATATACTTACCTAACAAATATCTATCCACTTCTGACTTGAAAATTTGTGGACGAAAGAAAAGATCAGTTCTGTAAATCACGTGAGCCTTGGAGCGTTGTTGTTAAGAGGCATTCTGAGCACAAGGAATACCGATAATATTTGGATATACACTAACTTGTATCTGTTAAAGGGCATTTTGTTCCCATAAAACCAGCCCAAAGACCATTAAAATAAGTAGGATCATAGTATCTTACAGCACAGAAGGATGCCATTCGACCCATCATGTCTATCCCGGCTCTTGGAAAGAGCTATCCAATTAGTCCCATTCCTCCACTCTTTCCCCACAGCCTTACAATTTTTTTTCTTTTCAAGTAAATATCCAATTCCCTTTTGAAAGTTCTCATTGAATCTGCATTCCAGATCGTAACATCTCATTGCGTAAAAGTAATTTCTCCTCATCGCTCCTCTAGTTCTTTTGCAAGGATACAGAGCTACTTGAAATCAGCAACATTGAATGAGAGGGTTCTGATCTTAAAGGATATCCTGGTGTTTATAAATAAGGGTAATGTTGGTGGCACCTTCATAACATAAATACATTATGCAGTCAGAGTTGGGGAAATGCCAAAATCTTAACTATGTCATCCATCCATTACTCCTGAATTACTTTATTCCTAAAATACGGAACTAGTGTTTGGTGGCTTGTAACTACAGATTTTCAGTTCTCTGTGATTTTATTGTTAATCAAGGGTATTTCAGGCAATTTGTTCCAAAGTCTCTGCCACGACTGCCTGTGTTTACTGACTCCCACAAGTAGACAAGTGTAACTGGAATGTTTGTTTTTTCCCCCCTACTTTGACTATGTGGAAACATGTGTTGGCTTTCATTTAACAGCTGAAGAATGACACAACTGAAATAGCGCACCATTTAATGGGAGAATCATAGAGTCTTACAGGACAGAAGTAGGCCATTCGGCCCATTGTGCCTGTGAAGGCTCTTTGAAAGAGCTATCCAACTAGACCCACCTTGAATCTTGGACATGAGTTTAGACCCCACCAATGCATGAAGCGCACTAAGCTATTGGAGTTACAATATATTGCACAACTATGGAATTATATTTGTAGAAGATGCAACCTCTTTGATCATCTTTTTCAGCTTCAGTGCGTGCAAGTATTGGACACTCATTAATGGCCCATATCCCTAGAATCAGTAGATTGCTATAATAGGATTTTCCTCATGTAGAGTCTTCGCTATATAATGAAGTTATTTTGGATTTTCAAAAGCCCATTGCACTGTGTTTTGTAGACATTTTAATTATTCTATTAAATGTAGTGGTTCTTTTTAGGAAAAAAAGGGAAAGAAGAGTAAAGAATGTAATTGATTGTGATGATAACTGCAAAACAGTTAGCAGTTTTAGATGTTTTAATAAACAACACTAGTTACTAGACACACAAGGTAACATAACATCTCAAATAATATAGCAAATGTTCCTTAAATAACCATCATTGTCCTACTGGGCCAGGAAGTAATTTGTGGATTAAGGCAGGAGATTAGTCCAGCCTAAAAGGTTACAAGTGTAATCATTACAACACTTTCCACAACAGTAATCTTTTGGGGAATGTAGAGTTACTGGGAGGTGCAAAATAATGTCACAATTCAACTTCAAATTTCCCCCTTCGCCCCCTGAAGAGGAACCTCACTTCAGCCTCGTGCTTCTACTGATCACTCTGACTGAGGTCATGGTCTACTGACCATGTAACTCTCTGCCACAGGCACGATGGGCTGAATGGCCTCCATACCTGCCTATAAGAACCTATGATTCTAACTCAACAGCACGGCATAAATATACTAGCAAATCAAAAAATGTTCACACAGATATTGTTACGCGAAAATACCATCATTTAAGTGTTTAATTTCTTAAAGAAAAGATTAAGACAGATTCAGCCTGTTTCTATCTTGAACGCTACAGAATGGGTGATTTGTTTAGTGTAAGAATTTCAAGCTTGCGAGCCAAATATATATCTGGTCCCCTTACCTCTTCAGGGGACCTTTCTGATCTAAGTATTGTCAGAATCTCTGTGTGATTGGGGGAGAGGGAAATCAATCTCAACAAGTGCTTGTGTAATGCTCTTATCAACGTGTAGAACAGCATTCATTCACTCTTACATAACTTCATAGTGAGTAAATCTGATTATCTTCAGTTTCCTCACATGGAAGCATGTTTGACAGATCCAGACAATAGTATAGATCACATGAGGAAGTTAGATCATTCTCTGTTGCTTGAGGATGTATAAGAGGTCCTTGAAGCCTGACACAACAAGCCTTTCATTGGCCTAAGCCTTCAGTAATCAGTTTGATTTTAATCAGTTCTCATTCAGACAATATCAGGGACGTTTTCCAAATTAGAACACCACTGCTGTTAAATATGATGGAAGGATGCAGATTTAATTGTTCTATCATTGCTAATCCTTGCTCACAGCAAATTCACACCTGCAAGATGGGGATGAAATTCTTTCTGCTCAGAATGCTATGGAAACTTTCCAAGTGGAATGAGTGAGTGGGATAAGCAATTTCAATAAGGGTGATTCCAAACAGCCCTGTCGAACCTGTGTCTCCAATTGAAATTGGCGTAAAATGTATAGGTATCTCACCTGTGAGAGTGGAATACCAGTGTCTGATAAGCCTTGGCAGAACATGTGAGTCACAGTGAACCTGTATGAGTAAGAAAACATTGGAACATAGCATGACTGGTGAGATAGTCTATTTATTGCCTCAGACAGCATTTCTGAGTAAGTGTTTGCAAATGGATTGTAGCATATTGCACGCTGCTGCTGGTGCTGCTTATCATTAAGTATTATTTCACATGTATAAGGGAGAAAGAGAATAGAATATTAAGAGAAGTGTGTACTAGCTGATGTCAAGCTTTACATATCTACTCATTGTGAAAGACCTGTGACTAGTCGCTGACGTGTCTATTTCTTCTATGCTGTAAATAAGCCAGTTTATTGTATGTAATTACCAGAATTGGTATCTGTATAACGTCGAGATTAGTTGTTTCTCTGCCATGAGTAATATTCAGTGCTTTGCATTGGCTTTCATAAAAGGTGTTATAAAACACAAATCAATTGTAATTTAAGCCAAATAAATTTGGAATTAGGCACAGCAATAACTATGTTGCAAACAAAAATGGTCTAATTTCAAATAGAGTGGGTTATTTTTTTTACACAACTAGATGCATTGTTATTATTGAGAATGCAATAAAATTCCAGACAACTCCAGACAACATGCAGGGTTTTGTATTTGATATCTAAACACAGACCTTGTTGTCAAACACTTCCAAAAGAACGGATAAAAATCCACTTAACATGTCTGGTCTATGCAAGAGTGAAAATGACGTGAACTAATTATATTAAATTTTGACACAGACAATACAATACAATACTCCTTGATACACTGATCGTCTTAAGGAATATTGTTGTCTAAGCCCCATGAAAGACTGTTCACAAATCACCATTTTCTTACGTTAATATTAAATGTGAGATGACATTATCACAATTGCCTTAAGCAATCTGCAATGCCAATTTTATAAATACGAAGAGTTAAGCAATTGGCATGAAACCAATTGGCACAGAATAGGATATTTTTTGCACTGCACCAGATGGCAGCCCAAACATTGTGTTAACACCCATCAATTTGTCTTTTATGTCACAAGATGACAAGATTGGTCCGGATGAAGAAGGCCCTTCGGCCCATCTGATCTCACCCAACTGTCCACCCATCACTGCATCAAGCTGCTATTTAAATGAATCTACTGGCTTGGCCTTTACCACATTTTCTGGCAATCTACTACCTTTCATGGCAGTCTTCATGGTTAACCAACAGGGTTTTTCTGCAGCTTGAGACAGCTACATCTATTTAAATTAACAAGTCTGTGAGATTCGAATGGATCACTTGGCTAAAACAGATTCTTTTTACCTAGGGAGCCCGGGTTTGAATCCATCCTGATGCAATGAAAACCCCTCTCCCAGTTGGAAAGGTACAACTCTTGCACCAATTTCTGCTTGAATACTGATTTGTCTACAGATCCCATAAGCGAATCATGTCACTAACATTATGGAAACTGCTTATTTCCTTTCTTAGCGAACAGGTAAGGCAGCATCAAACAATTGATCCTCTGAGCAGATATCATCTTCTGGTAATTCTGCAATCTCACTCCAGAAAACAGAAATTATTACCAGCAGAGCACATTAACACACTAATAGAATTCCTTGAACATCAGAAGACAGGGGATTTTTAAACACACTAAGCAACGACACAACAACATGTTAAATTTATTTAGTACCTCTCACAGCAAAAAAATATTTTGGAGAGATGCTGCCCATGAGAAGTCGTTAAACAAAAGTTGTCGTCGTAGTACAGAGTGTGATGTGGACAAGCTATTTGTGGCAGCAATGATCCACAAAGAACAACAAGATGAATAGTCAGTATACATGATTTCTTTTAGATAAATTTTGGAGGAGGAAGGGATGTTAGTCAGAAAAAACGGAGAGAAACTCCCTACTCTTTGAAGTAGAAACATAGGATATTTTAATGTCGTTTGAATTACCAGGTGCACAGGAACTCGGTTTAGCACGGCATTCAAAAAAGGAATGATAATTCCGCCATAAATAATAATTGCATTTAACATAATGTTTTATCAGGTCGAAATGTCTGAAGG